ATTGATGTATAAATATTTTTATTTTTTTGCATATTATTATATAGTACTAATCTATAGTTTATAAAAAAATATTACTTCACTATTTTATTTTTAATATATTCTGATAAATATACTTATTTAACTTTCAGTGACACTAAGGACAGGTCTTAATTACAATGTCCGGTCAAGTTTCAGTTAACGCTAATTAGCCAATTAACAACTGATAACCGATTTTATTACCGGACATTGCGTAAGAACCAGCCTAATTCTATAATAGAATTATAATAATATATCATATAATATAATATGCTGTTGCCTGTTATATAATATATGTTATAGCACTTATAAATTAAAATGTACAACTTTTGAAATTCTACAATATATAGACATTTCTACTAACCAATGTAAATAATATATTTGCATAAAAAAATGTTATTACAGAATTAAATTTAATACATTTTTATCTCACATGTTTATTCATTAATGAACTTATTATCTTTAAGTTAATATTATGTATTGTAATCTTAGTTTAGGGGATTATATAATTATTTTATATATATTTCAGTGGCAGTGAGAAAAGTTCCCATATTTCAAAATGCTTCTGATATTGAAATTGAAAAGCCTTTGAAATCATTTATGGCACAAGCATCTGCTAGATTAAAATTAAAATCGATGAAAACAAAAGTTATTCCAACTACCTACTCTCAAAATACAGCCGCAGAAGAAAATCTATAATTAAAATGTAGTTACTGTTAATTTTTAATATTTACTTATAAAATATTTACTGTTATTATAGACAGTTATGAACATTATATAATTTATAAGTTTGTACATTATTAATAATATACTTTACAAAGTACTGCCTCAGATACAAATTCAATTATTTATAACTTTTACTTGAATTTTTTTAATATTTATACTGACAAAATTTTTATTTTTAGTCATTATTATACATTTCTTTATTCGTGTATTTTATACAATATTATAATATATCAAAACCTCCCCACAGGTAATAAAAAAGCTTTTATAACTTTTAACTTGTTTTTTATTAACACAAAATTTAATATTGATTATAAGACATTATTTTTATTATTTTGCTTTTGAATACAGAACATATTATTATTTAGTTTGTGACACAATTTTAAAACTAAATTCTTTAAAATGTAATTATATTATTATTTATGTATTGTTTTTTTTATTTAATTGGGTACTGCCCGAGATAAAATTCAATTATTTATAACTTATACTTGAATTTTTTTTTAAATATTCATACTGACAACATTTTTTTTTTTAGTCATTATATTATATATTTCTTTATTCATGTATTTTATACAATATTATATATCAAAACTTCCCCACGGGTAATAAAAAAGCTTGTATAACTTAATTTTTTTTTTATAAACACAAAATTTAACATTGAAATAAGACATTATTTTTATTATTTTGCTTTTGAATACAAGATGTGTTATTATTTATGTATTGTTTTTTTTTATTTAAATGGGTACTGCCCCAGATAAGATTCAATTACTTACAATTTTTATTTGAATTTTTTTTTTT